GTTTTCCATCCAAGATCCCTATCTTAAGGAGGTCCATTTCTTGGCTCTTCCATTTGACTTCTCCATCATTCCAGTCGCCATCCTGCGTCCTGCTCTTTCCCAAGGGTTGTATTCTTACTCAGCTAAATGTTATATTATTGGCTTTATGAACAACTGTTGATGTATTATAATTGTCTGATGCTTTGAGTTTATTAGAACGAACACTTTGATGAGAGTAAGACTGGATCGAACTTGTTCACAATTGGGGCCTCCGTGCAAATCCTAGTTCTAAGGGATACAGAGCCCAAAATACCTGTGAAATGGAACAAGCTTTCACACTTCATACTGGCATACATCTTTGCCTTATGCCAAAGACGTGAGGATGCCACTAAATAAGGAAGTCATATTTTGTTTTTGAGCCAGTCTTGCTCTATCATCCAGGCTGGAGTGCAGTGGTGCAATCACAGCTCAGTGTAACCTCCAACTCCCAGGCTCAAGCGATCCTCCAAGCTCAGCCTTCCTAATAGCTGGCATTACAGGCAGGCACCACCGCACTCAGTTAATTTAAAAATTTTGTTTCTGTGTAGAGACAGAGTTTCGGTAGTTGCCTCCCAAAGTGCTGGGATTACAGGCATGAGCTACCATGCTGGGCCTGTTTTAATACTTAGTAATTGGGTGTAAACTACTTCGAAGAAAGGGGGGGCAGGTGAGAAACTCCCTTTGTTTGTTTGACCCTCTAGCGCCAGGGATAAAATTTCAACTTCATCTTAAAGTAACAACGTACTTTTCCAAGACCAAGTGCGAAACAGTAAAGGGAAGAGCTAGCTCTGTAGCTGTCCGCCACAGAATGCCACAAGCTTTCAACTGTGGGGCAAAATTGGAACACATGGAAACCTTGTGCAAACTCCGGTGACAGCTTCCCTTCTCCCCAAGTCCCCTCCCACAGACCCTGCGCCTCCACAATTATTCCCCCAGGGCCCGAGCGGGATGACTTGGGTCCCACTACCCGGAGTCAGATTTGCCCCAAGAAAGGCATCCGAAAACTCCAGCTGGGGCAGCCCCGGGGCAGATGTTGCAAAGTTCTCAGAGGCGCCGGGAAGCTCCGAGGTCTCCCCCAGGCCAGAGAGCATAACCCTCCCTAAATGAAATGTTCCCCTACATCTGTTGATACTCTGGTTCCCAGAAAACGGTGGAACCTAGGCTGAACGTGGCGTAGAAAGAAAGTTTAAAGAGATTTCATCTAAGCCCCGCTCAGCCCCCAGTACCTCTCCCGGTGGCCCAGACCCCGCTTCCCCTGCTCCGCCCACCTAGGGCTCGGGAGTGCCCCGAGAGCGCGCCTCCTCCCCGGCTGCGCGCGCACCTCCCCGCCCCCATACCCACCACCTCGCGTGACCAGTGGAACAGTCTTGTGTCTCCACCTCAAGTCCCCGGATGCTCGCTTCCCCAACTCGCCCCCTCCCCGCTGTGGCCCCGCCCCCGCGTGGCTCTGCGTGCCACGTCACCGCTGCGTCGCTTCCGGAGGCGCAGCGAACGATGACGTAAGAGACGTACCCTCTATATGAGGTTGGGGAGCGGCTGAGTCGGCCTTTTCCGCCCGCTCCCCCCTCCCCCCTAGCGCCGCTCCGGCTGCACAGCGCTCGCTCCGAGCTTCGGGCTCCTGCTAAGCTAGCGCCGCCGTCCTCTCCCGTCAGCCGCCATCATGATTATCTACCGGGATCTCATCAGCCGTGAGTCCTCACTGCACTACCCTTACTGCCGCACACGGGGTCCTGGGGTGCGGGTGGGGGGTGGGAAAGGCGCAGCCGTCCGGGCCTAGGGGATGCCGGTGACCTTAACCGAGTGCGCAGGGATCGGTACCGGGGCTCGCGCTCGGCTCTGGAGCCCTCGCGAGGGGCTGACGCCGCGTGCGGCTGCCGGCGCGGGAAATGCGGGAAATGGCGGCGCCGGGTCGGGGCCTGCGGTGACGGGCGGTTCTGTGTATTCGGCAGACGATGAGATGTTCTCTGACATCTACAAGATCCGGGAGATCGCGGACGGGCTGTGCCTAGAGGTGGAGGGGAAGGTGAGTCGGTCGGGCCTGCGCGTGGGGGAGGTCGGGGCGGGCCGCGCCAGGCAGGCTCGGGTTTCCGCCGCTCCCCCGCCTGAGGTTGTGCAATCCTCCCCGCCGCCTCCTGGCGGAGGAGACGCTCTTTCCGGGCTCGGGTTTTTCTAGAAAACTGGAGGCGGAGCTGAGCCTGGAAATAGGCCCGCCGCCTCGGCGCCCATCCTCCTCCCGGGGTTGTCCGGGACACGCTGTCTCTGGTTTAGGAGCCCAATCCCTTTCGTGTTTACCCTGCCCCTACTTACCAACCCGAGGCACTCGATGTCAGCAACTGCAAACAACTTTTTAATGATCCTATTTTGTTCTGGCCAACGATGGACAACTCTTTTTTTAAGTTAGGTCGTTTCGGAAAATCCACAGGTCACACCTTGATTCCCATAATGGTGCTTTTTTGATTTTCATCAAGAACTAAGAATGTTTCTTAGCTGTTGGTGTGGAAGGTGCTTTGAAGATGCAACTATACTGCTTTTTGTTAACGCAGATGGTCAGTAGGACAGAAGGTAACATTGATGACTCGCTCATTGGTGGAAATGCCTCCGCTGAAGGCCCCGAGGGCGAAGGTACCGAAAGCACAGTAATCACTGGTGTCGATATTGTCATGAACCATCACCTGCAGGAAACAAGTTTCACAAAAGAAGCCTACAAGAAGTATATCAAAGATTACATGAAATCGTAAGTGATACTGGCAGCACTTAGCTGATGTCTAGAATCTTAAGGGATTTAAAGATGGGGTAACTTTTGAGTTTCTTTTGAGCATTGAATATACTTGCCTTTTTTATTAATGAGTTCACTGACAAGAGTGGTTTCTTTTTCTGTGAGCGTACTGAAGCCTGCAGTCTGGGTTCCGTTTAGAGTTAGAATAGTACTTTGAAAATAGTCAACAAGAAATGTCAGAAATACGAACATTCTTGAAAGATAACTTATGTGAACAGGTGGTGGGATTACAGCCGTGAGCCACCGCGCCCAGCTATTAATTAGTAATTTCTTAACAGCTGGTTGCCTTTTTCAATGTTCTTACTTTTTTTAAGCTTGGGTATTTTTTTACTTTAAAAATTGATTTTACTGAAAATTCAATAATTTAACCAGTTAATGAAATGTTGTTTTAGAATCAAAGGCAAACTTGAAGAACAGAGACCAGAAAGAGTAAAACCTTTTATGACAGGGGCTGCAGAACAAATCAAGCACATCCTTGCTAATTTCAAAAACTACCAGGTAAATGCCTTAAGTATTTGGATCAAAGGATTGTATAATTTTAACTGCAAGAGCAAAAATTAAGTTCATTCATCTTCAATTCTATACTAGTATTCCAGGTGTAGAAAGTAGCTTTCTCAGCGCTCAAGTGTTTTCAAATCCTGCCTTCTGATGGAAAACTTCTTTCCCAGATGACATTTCTTCAGTTTTTCTTCTCAAAAAATGCTTAACCTCCTAAGTGTTCAGCTTTCTGTTTACAATTCTAATGTGTCTTATTGCTACTGGTCCTCCTGATGTATCTGAACATGTTCTACTTCTGGAAAATGTCAGTGGCTTTCGTTACCTCTAATTATCCAACTTCATGCATCCCTTGGCCATAAGATACAAACTATGATATATTCTGTCACTGTCAGCCCTATGTTGCAATTGTGCTTGACTATATAAGCACACTTCAGGGTCTGAGAAAGTAAAGGTTTCCATAAAGCCTAGTGTTCTGTATTGCTCTGTATTCTTACTTAGGTGACTATTAAGGTGCCTAATTGAGTGAACAAATGATTATGGTGAGTGAGTATCAGAGCTTTTGGGTACTGGAATTCTCCTGATTTTGTACTGTAGTTAGTTTTGAATGGCATGTATTTGTATGTAATGGTCTAATTCTAGGTATTTTGTTTGCTTCCCAAGTTCTTTATTGGTGAAAACATGAATCCAGATGGCATGGTTGCTCTATTGGACTACCGTGAAGATGGTGTGACCCCATATATGATTTTCTTTAAGGATGGTTTAGAAATGGAAAAATGTGTAAGTACAAAGGAGTGGATTAAAATCAGTAATGTAAAAAATAGATATATTAGATGGGATTCCAGTTGTTTTGTGCCACTGGGATAGAATGTTTCACGTGTAAAAGATTCTTAGGGTATAAAAAGGCTTAGAATCTTATTTGTGGAAACACTTGAGTGCAGATGGGGCATCATAAAGTACAGTTTCGGCAGGGCGTGGTAGCTCACACCTCTAATCCCAGCACTTTGGGAGGGATTAGGGTGGATCACCTGAGGTCAGGAGTTGAGACCAGAAAAACAAAAAATTAGGCACGGTGGCAGGCATCTGTAATCCCAGCCACTCGGGAGGCTGAGGCAGGAGAACTTGGGAGGGTTGCAGTGAGCTGAGATCCCACCACTGCACTGGAGCCTGGGTGACAGAATGAGGTTCTGTCTCCAAAAAATACAGTTTAAATGCTGAGGAAGATGGAGAGCACCATTGATTTTCCTCTAGATAGACCTCACAGGTAGGCCTTACTTCACTTCATCATGTTTTGCTGTATACATAAGGATTAATTCATATCATTGTTTTTACTTTGGTTTACTGATCATTGGCAGCTGATGATTGAAAGCCTGCTGCCAGTACTGGCTTTTAGTAAACATGCTGACTGCTGAACTGGTGTGCAAATTGTGTTAGTAAATATAAGTAACTGAATGTCTGCTGTGCAGGGCTGGGAGCTGTACAGAAACTGAGGCATTCATTATTCTAGCTTTCATAGGTTTCTGTATAAATTAGGAAGAAGATAAACATAAGTCTATACTGAACAAGTGAGATTAGAGTCAACAATAGACAGAAATTACTTAGAACTGTATAAGATGACTTACCGCCGGGCACGGTGGCTCACGCCTGTAATCCCAGCACTTTGGGAGGCCGAGGCGGGTGGATCACGAGGTCGAGAGATCGAGACTGTCCTGGTCAACATGGTGAAACCCCGTCTCTACTAAAAATACAAAAAAATTAGCTGGGCATGGTGGTGCGTGCCTGTAATCCCAGCTACTCAGCAGGCTGAGGCAGGAGAATTGCCTGAACCCAGGAGGCGGAGGTTGCGGTGAGCCGAGATCACGCCATTGCACTTCAGCCTGGGTAACGAGCGAAACTCTGTCTCAAAAAAAAAAAAAAGATGACTTACCAAAGGGGTTATTCAGATGGTATCTGAGGTTTTTGTTGGTAGAGCAGGGGTGGGTGGCACATGCCACAGACTTCTGGAAAATGAGCTACTGCTGATTTGGTAACGGTCTCCTGCATCCACTGATAGACCTTGAACAATTGGCTGTTGTTCTTTTGGTTTGCACTAGGATGCAAAAGAAAGAAATCCCTGCGCTTTCTGTCTGTCTTTGTGGCGGCCCAGATTGAATTGGGGAATACATCTATAGCCTAGAAATGTAGGCTTACATGTTTATGGTAATGTAATTTTTGTTTTTACAGTAACAAATTTGGCAATTACTTTGGATCTATCACCTACCATCGTAACTGGCTTCTGCTTGTCATCCACACACCAGGACTTAAGACAAATGGGACTGATGTCACCTTGAGCTCTTCATGTATTTTGACCGTGATTTATTTGGAGTGGAGGCATTGTTTCTAAGAAAAACATGTCATGTAGGTTCTCTAAAAATAAAATGCATTTAAACTCATTTGAGAGAATGCCTTTTAGTTTAATACATATTTAAACTAAATTCGTCCTATAGTGTTCGTGGAGAAGCTAGAGCCTGGTTGTAAGCTACTGCTAGAAAGAATAAGACTCATCAATTAACTTCTACAGTGGAAACTACTTCTGGGACTGGAATATAAAAAAAAGAATCAAAGGTTTTGATTGTGAGTTGCAATAAAGGGAAAGACCATGCTCATAGCAGTGCCAACATCTGAAGTGGAGCCTTACCCATTTCATCATCTACAACGGAAGTAGTAACTGGAGGAGATTACCAAGAGAATAAAAAGAGACTAATTCAGTTGGAAGCAACTTTGTCTCAGCTTATTTAACGTAAAGAGAGCCAAGTCTCGGGATGAATGTTAAACTCCCTGGTAACTAGAACAGGGACTGGCAAACTAGCCTGTCCAGCCACCTGTTTTGTACTCTTCAAGGTGGTTGCATTTTTAAACGGTTGAGGGGAAAATATCTTGTGGGACGGAACTTATATTTGTGTCCAGTTATATTGGAACATGGCTATGCTCACTCATTTATGGATTGACCATGGCTGTTTTCACTGCACAGGCAGAGTTGTGTCGGACACTGAGGCCTGCAAGTTTGCCAGCCCGATTTAAAAGATGAAGTTACACAGAATGTGGGCTGGCTGGTGGGCAGAGGGGTGAAAGTGTTCTTTATATTGTATCTGAAAAGATGGTGTCAGAATGAATGTGAAAATGCATCTATTTGACAGACCTGGAGCAGTTGCTATCTGCTGCTAAGGTTTCCACTACAGATGCAAGAAAAACATGTCCTTGCGCTTTCCGTCTGTCTAATTGTGGCAGCTGAGATTGAATAGAGGAATACAGGGTAAAAACGGGAAGAGAATGCTTGACACAGCTTGCTTACCAGGCTTAGAGTGCATTGGCACAAGTGGCTCCCTGCATCTGCCTCCTGGGCTCAGGCCGTTTTCCCACAGCCTCACTAGTTGCTGGGACTACTGGCATACACCCCTATGGCCATCTTAATTTTTGTAGAGACCTGGTCTTGCTTATTTGTCCAGGCTGGTCCCAACTCCTGAGCTCAAGATCTGCCCACCTCAGCCTCCTAAAGTGCAAGCCCAGCCTGGGAGGAGAAATAGTTCCTACCACCCTTATCTCATTAATCACATTTGTTAAAGGTTAGAAGCAAGCCAGTGACTCTGGTCTGCTCGAACATGTGAATCTAGTGATTGAGCAATCTGGAGTTTGTCCTAGTGTCCAGAATCTGGGCCAGACACATTGTGTGAACGTTCCCTGAATCCCCATGATTTGAAATACATATTAAGAACTTCACACTTGATGACAATTTTAAGCATTCTGATAGTTGTTTTTTGTAGACACGGTCATCCCATGTTGCTCAGGCTGGTCTCGAACTCCTAACCTCATAATCCTCCAGCTTTAGCCTTCTAAAGTGTTAGGATTACAGGTGTGAGCCATTGCACCTGGCTCAGCATTCTGGTTTCAGGACATTTTAATGAGAAAAGTATGAGTGATCTACATGGCCTTTTGTCCTCTGAAACACTAGCAGGAAGGGAATTTTCAGGCAGTGGTCAAAGCTGGGAAGATAGATAAGGATAATGGAAAGGGGCTTGAGGTGAGACATGGAGGCTGATAGGTGAACTGGCCTTGGAAGTCTGAAACAGCAGACTAGCAGCAATTCAGAGGCTTTGTGGGCTCCATTGCTCCAACTTGTTTTGAAAATGGTCAGTTCTGTAGAAGAGGCCCTATTTTCTCTGTTGTCCTTGCAGTGCTCTTAGCTGTTTTCCCAACGTCCAGATCCAACCAAGATTGGGTTAGCTTTTTGTCGTGTCTTTAAGCCAGAGTGATGAACTCCAGCTGTTTACCTAATGATAAACCTTTGAAGATTTCAAATAGAACTTCTCAGACTTTGAAGACTGTCTCATATCTTTTTCTGGTTATTCTTAGAGTCAAGATGTTTGGGGCAAGAATAAGGATGTGCACATGAGAAAAGCTCATAACATTTTATCTTTGATGCTAAAGTGTAATACAAGCATGTTTTAGTAGCCTGCGGGCCCTAGGGTTTGTTAACGTGTGGAGAACAATTGAGTGGAGCAAGAGGACTTTTCTAGGAAGGTCCTTGTAATGTGACATTTTAAAACGAAGGTGTGGAAGCCATGTGGGTATCAGGACGGACCATTCCAGGCCAAGACAGCAGTCTTGGAATGTGATATGTACTGGGAACAGAGTGGCCCCTTTGCTAACCCAAGATGTAAGGGTTGTAGAGCAGTGTGAGTGCACAAGGAAGACCAGACCTCAAGAAAACCATTGGAGCTCTGAGCAGAAGAGATACATGATAGGAGTTAACATTTACAAGGCTCACTTTGGCTTTCAGGTAGCAGGGTAAAAGCATAGAGTAATTGTGTATGATATAGTGTTAAAGCAAAGATGATAGTGGCTTAGTCTAGGGTGGTAGACGGGTTAGGAAATGAAGATAGAGACGATATACTGATAGGTTGAGTGAGGATGGATTTAATGTCAAATATTTTGGTCTGAGCATCTGAAAGAAAGGAGTTGGCACTGAGATGGGAATTCAAGAATTTAGTTTTGGATGTGTTAAATTTGAGATGCTGATTCTTCAGAGAAGTCTAAGCTGGAGAACTCTACTAGACAGTGGGAAGATCTCAATAGATGACACAAGAAACTGATACTGGATAAGGTCATTTGGAGAGAGGATAGACTGCACTCCAACAGGAGATTGGTTGACAAGGAGAAGCCAACAAAGGTAATTAAGAGGAGCTCCCCCTGCCACCACTGCACTTGTACTCGGAAGGCTAAGGCAGGAGGATTGTTTGAGGCTAACCTGGTTACCATAGGTTTACCGTCTCTAAAATGTAGCCAGGTACCAGACTCATACCTGTAATCCCAGCACTTTGGGAGGTTGAGGAGGGAGGATCACTTGAGCTTAGGAATTTGAGGCCAGTGTGGGCAATGTAGCAAGACCTAAAAAAATTTGTTAGGCATCTGTAGTCCCAGCTACTCGGGAGACTGAGCTGAGAGGATGGCTTGAGCCCAAGAGGCTGAGGCTGCAGTGAGCTGTGATCACACCACTGCACTCCAGCCTGGGTGACAGCAAAACACTATCTCAAGAATAAAAGTTTAAAATTTTTAAAAAGGAACTGCCTGGAGGTAACCAAGGGAGAGCCTTCCAGAGGTCAGGTGGAAAAAGTTTTAGGAAGGAGGAAGTTGTCAACAGGGTTACCTGTTGCAAAAGGCTTAAGTAGTGTGAGGCCTGATGGTAAACTTGACTATTGTTGAATTTCACTAGTGGGGAAGAAAGCCTAATTAAAATGCACTCAAGAGACTAACAGTCACAGGCATGAAACATACAGGTATATGGTTTTTTATTATGTGTGTGTCTGCTTCAGCAATAGGTGTGAATTACTCATTTGGATCATCAGGAGTTTCAAAGTCTAGTTAAGTCAGTTAGATTTGTGTTGATGTAAATTCTATCATTCTGAACTACAAGGGATTGTCAGTAACTTACTGCAAACCAAACTGGTGGTGATTATGATAAAATTGCAAGACGAAATCTCACCAACTTGAAAAAACACTGATAACAAAGCATCCTTAAGGATGTATATGTGCGCACACAGGTGGGAGTGGAGTGACTGGCTGGCTGCCAGAATACTGAGTAAAACAGGACTAAAACCAGGAGGCTTTGAATTAATGGGATTGGCCGTGCGCGGTGGCTCAAGCCTGTAATCCCAGCACTTTGGGAGGCCGAGGCGGGTGGATCACGAGGTCAAGAGATCGAGACCATCCTGGTCAACATGGTGAAACCCCGTCTCTATTAAAAATACAAAAATAATTAGCTGGGCATGGTGGCGCATGCCTGTAATCCCAGCTACTCAGGAGGCTGAGGCAGGAGAATTGCCTGAACCCAGGAGGCGGAGGTTGCGGTGAGCCGAGATCGCGCCATTGCACTCCAGCCTGGGTAACAAGAGCGAAACTCCGTCTCAAAAAAAAAAAAAAAAAAAGACTGAATTAATGGGATTAGTGATTTATAACTAGTGGGTTACTACTATACTCTGGCAATTGGCATGTGTTTCTAGACTATCCATAAGAACTGTGGGTGCAACTTGAGGATTCTAGAAACATTTAATATTTCATTCCAAAGGAAAAAACCTTGCTTAAAGTAGTTTTGTTGTTGTTGTTTTATTTATTTATTTAGAATTTCGCTCTTGTTGCCCAGGCTGGAGTGCAGTGGCGTGATCTCAGCATACCATACATAACCTCCACCTCCTTTGTTCAAGCAATTCTCCTGCCTCAGCCTCCTGAGTAGCTGGGATTACAGGCACTCACTACCACACCAAGCTATTTTTTTTTTTTTTTTTTTTTTGTATTTTTAGTAGAGACAAAAGTTTCACCATGTTGGTCAGGCTGGTCTTGAACTCCTGACCTCATGATCCACCTGCCTCAGCCTCCCAAAGTGCTGGGATTACAGATGTGAGCCACCACACCCGGGCAAAGGATTTTTAACAAGCAAGTAAAGAAAAAGTTGCCATGGCTAGGCATGGTGGCTCATGCCTGTAATCCCAACTACTTGGGAGGCTGAGGAGTCCAGGAGTTTGAGATTCAGTGAGTTAATGTCTACAACACTGCCCTCCAGCCTGGGTGGTAGAGGGAGACCCTGGCTCTTAAAAGAGAGAAAGGTGCTGTGATAGAATATATTGTTTGCTGGGAAGAAAAAAAAAAAGAGGAAGGTGCCACATACCTTCCATTGAATAAAAGTTGGCTATTAGCTGGACTCTAAATGTGGAGTTTGCAGAGAAGTTAAAAATCATAATAGTGCTGACAGTTTCTATGTATCCCACTGAAATCCTCCAAGACTATCCCTTAATGATAAATCAGGCCCCTGTGCTGATCAGCAGTTCAAAACAGACTTTACTACTGTAAGGCATATTTTTAACTACCAGATCTTTCCACTTTATTTTTTTGGGAGCCTGTAGAGTGGTTACACATAACTTTCATATAATTGAGCCTGGAAGTTGTCATTTACCATTCTTCCATATGCAGGGCCATGAGAACCTTTGGGACTGGATGTGGTTTTAGCTGGAGTCGATAAAATTCCATGAGAAACATCAAATAGGAGTTTAAGGGAAGATTCTTTCCAAACTAATTTGGGTGGTGATGCTTCCCTCAATTACTTTCTCCTCCATTCATTTACATATGCATTCCACTCTTCTCTGAGTTCGCAGGTAGAGCAAAGAGCACAAGTTGGGAAGAACACTGGTGATATTTTATGTGTGAGTCACAATCTTCAGACAAAGGGAAATTTAGACATCAAGGGACTCACTGGCGTGGTCCTCTGGGAGGGACACACAAGCTACAATTATTAGTTAAGTTATAATACAGTATTTTTAACAGTAGGACAGTAGAGCTACTAGCCACCATTTATTTACTCCTGAGTTTCTGGATTTCTTTTTTTTTTTAATCAGGGTCATGCTATGTTGCTGGAGCTGATCTCAAACTCTTGGCCTCAAGTCATCCTCCTGTGTTGGCCTCCCAAAGTGCTGGGATTACAGGTCTTAGCCACCACATCTGGCCAACAACTAGATTTCTAGTAACTAAATGTTAGAAAGGACTGGGCCGGGTGTGATGGCTCATGCCTGTAATCCCAGCACTTTGGAAGGCCGAGGCAGTCAGACCACTTGATCTCAGGAATTTGAGACTAGCCTGGACAACATGGTGAAATCCCATCTCTATAAAAAATAGAAAAAAAAAAAAACTACTTGTATACTTGTTGATTTTCTCCATGTGTAAAGAAAGCAGATAAGCCCTAGTTTATTATCAAATGTGGCTTGCCCATGACCTCATCTAGAGCACAGGGTTATCAAATTGGTAGAAATTTGGCAAATCAGAGAAAGTTGGTGTTTTCTGGACATCTATTCAAAACAGCTATACATGCAGTTTTCTTTTCCTTGAGTATATTTGGGAGTTGTCCTTAAGAACTACCAATTTATCATTTAAGTCAAACACCCAAACTAGGATTCAACCTGGGATGGTAGGGGGGAACCAGCAGTTAAAGGAAAATTGCTGCAAATAAAATTAAAAAGAAAAAATGAATACCTCTTGACTACTTCACTAAGGTGGAAGAATGTGCATCAACAGATGGCAAGTATAAAATTGGAAGCTCAGCAAACTCAGATCTTGGGCATGATGCACCGTAACCTTTTCTTCATTATGTTCCTAGCACTCTATTCTTCTATGCCTCTCCCACTGTTATTAGCTTGAAGGGACTCAATCCACAGCGGTGGGTTTTGTCAGATGGAACACAGGCTGTGTGTTAGAACCCTTGGTGATTGCCATTATATCAGCATGGTGGTAACACCAACTGCTGGCATCTATTAAAAGTAAAAGTGACTAAGCTTCTGAAATTTGGTTAAGTAATGTGCAACCTGTTCCTCTCTGTTCCATAGACCAGGGAGGAGGAGGAGGAGGACTGGGTGTTGAGTGTGAGAGCCACAGATATTTTCGTGTAAGGGAGGAAAGATTGCTTTCCACACCCATCACTACGTTCATGACTGGGGCCCCTATTACAAAAGACAGATAGACAAAAGCAAAACATACGCATTTCTAAAATATGTTTTCTTTGACATGGGAGCCTTCATAAGGAAAGGAGAATCCAAAGAAACTGGTGAGCTTGTGTATTTTTATGTTTTGGTTTCATGAAGAGTGGAGAGTTGTGCAGAAGTATTGGACAAAAAGTACAATCTAATGGTAAACTGGGGGAACTTGGCAAGGCCTGTTTGTTCAGATTCTTCTGTCTCTGTGTCTTCAGAGATGAGAATACTTATTTCCCCTGGGTATATGGAGGGTACCTCTCGAATGAGAGTTATTTATTTATTTGAGACGGGGTCTCACTGTATTGCCCAGGCTGAAGTGCAGTGGTGTGATCATAATTCACTGTAGTCTCAAACTCCTATGCTCAAGAGATCCTCCCACCTCAGCCTCCCAAAGTGTTACGATTGCAGGCATGGGCCACTGTTCCAAGCCTACACCACACCTATTGAATTAGAATATCCAGCATTTAACTTTTGAGGGTGTTTGTTAGTTTTTGTTTTTGAGATGGAGTCTCGATCTGTCGCCCAGGCTGGGGTGCAATGGCACAATCTCGGCTCTGTGCAACCTCCACCTCCCGGGTTCAAGCAATTCTCCTTCCTCAGCCTCCTGAGTAGATGGGATTACAGGCACGCACCACCACACCCAGCTAATTTTTTTGTATTTTTAGTAGAGACGGGTTTCATTATGTTGGCCAGGCTGGTCTCAAATGCCTGACCTCATGATCCACCTGCCTTGGCCGCCCAAAGTGTTGGGATTACAGGCACAAGCCACAGTACCCAGTCTTGTTTATTTTTTAGAGTCTCACTTTGTCACCCAGGCTAGAGTGCAGTAGTACAATCTCAGCTCACTACAACCTCTGCCTCCCGGGTACAAACGATTCTCCTGCCTCAGCCTCCTGAGTAACTGGGATTACAGGTGCCCACCACCATGCCTGGCTGCTTGTTTGCCTTTTTTTTTTTTTTTTTTTTTTTTTTTTGAGATGGAGTTTTGCTCTTGTCTCCCAGGCTGGAGTGCAATGGGACAATCTCGGCTCACTGCAACCTCCACCTCCCAGGTTCAAGCAATTCTCCTGCCTCTACCTCCCTGGTAGCTGGGATTACAGGCACCTGCCACCATGTGCCCTGCTAATTTTTGTATTTTTATTAGGGACGGGGTTTCACCATGTTGGCTAGGCTGGTCTCATACTCTTGATCTCAAGTGATCCACCCGCCTCGGCCTCCCAAAGTGTTGGGATTACAGGTGTGAGCCACCGTGCCCAGCCGCTTTTTTGTATTTTTAGTAGACATGGGGTTCATCATGTTGCCCAGGCTGGTCTTGTGATCTGTCTGCCTCAGCCTCCCAAAGTGCTAAGATTACAGGCATGAGCCACAACTCTCGGCCAGAATATCCAGCATTTTAAAAGCCCCTCTGAGATTTCAGCTCCCTGCTGAGGGTGGAGAAACCACTATTATAGCAGGAACCATGGGAAGGAAATGAGCTCATGAGATAAAGGAAAACAGCCCAGGCAGCTGGCTTGTGGTTACTGCCTTCTTGCTAAAGTAACATATAAAGTGCCAGAGTGGAAAGGAATCTGATGCGCCTATCCAGTGCTCAGGGCCCTTGACTTACATCCGTCTTTTTTTTTTTTTTTTTTTTTTTTTTTGAGGCGGAGTTTCGCTCTTGTTACCCAGGCTGGAGTGCAATGGCACGATCTCGGCTCACCGCAACCTCCACCTCCTGGGTTCAGGCAATTCTCCTGCCTCAGCCTCCTGAGTAGCTGGGATTACAGGCACGAGCCACCATGCCCAGCTAGTTTTTTGTATTTTTAGTAGAGACGGGGTTTCACCATGTTGACCAAGATGGTCTCGATCTCTCGACCTCGTGATCCACCCGCCTCGGCCTCCCAAAGTGCTGGGATTACAGGCTTGAGCCACCGCGCCCGGCGACTTACATCCGTCTTAACCACAGTGCCGAAAATGCCCTGCAGTGCCCGAGGTGTGGCTTGGCCTCATTTCCACATGCTCTGTTAATGCAATCATATTTTAACGCAGTCTAAACTGACATTTGCTTTTTTTGGGTAATATCAGACAGGAGACTTGTCTTGAGTTTCTGCCAGCTAAAACTTGTCTTCATGCTTGCTGCTGAAACCAGGTCTGCCCCATTCACACACTGGTGCAGTTGGATTTTGGACTCACACACAGGAGCTTACACTGTGATATCTTTCTCTCATTTTGCATACCAGATGTCTCAGCATCCGATTTGTACTTTAGATTATTTTTCTTCCTAATTCCTTTTTCTTTTTTAAAATTCTATTTTAGCTCAGCTAAAACAAATGAAAGATGATAACCATCTGCATCAATTTGGCAGACTTACAAGAAAAAAAGCATTCTTTCCATTTCGGCATGTGGAATTAGTACCATGCAGTGGTGGTGTTTTGAAATCCGGGTTCTAATAAAAGCCCCACCACTTGCTAGCTGGTGGTGAGAACTGCAGCATCTTAACCTCTCTAAACCTCAGTATCTCCATCTAGAAAACATTCTCATACTTACTTCATTGACTGATTTGGTAAGTAGAGGCTATCATAGGAGTGTCTTCACCGTGAGAAATTCTTACAGTATTGGTCTCTGCTGTGAATCAGTGGAAAATACAGGATGCCTGCTCACATTCTCTGACTTTTGTGTAGCCTTGGGAAACTGCAACAAGAATATGTTTTAGGGCAGGATGCGGTGGCTCATGCCTGTAATCCCAGCACTTTGGGAGGCTGAGGTGGGCGGATCACCTGGGGTCAGGAGTTCAAGACCAAAATGACCAACATGGAGAAAGCTCCATCTCTACTAATAAATAAATAAATAAATAAATAAATAAATAAATAACTGGGCGTGGTGGCATGTGCCTGTAATCCCAGCTATTCCAGAGGCTGAGGCAAGAGAATCACTTGAACCTGGAGGCAGAGGTTACAGTGAGCCTAGATCACGCCATTGCATTCCAGCCTGGGCAACAAGAGTAAAACTCCATCTTTAAAAAAAAAGAAAGAAAGGAGGCCGGGCGCGGTGGCTCACGCCTGTAATCCCAGCACTTTGGGAGGCCGAGGCAGGTGGATCACGAGGTCAAAAGATCGAGACCATCCTGGTCAACACGGTGAAACCCCGTCTCTACTAAAAATACAAAAAATTAGCTGGACATGGTGGCGCACGCCTGTAATCCCAGCTACTCAGGAGGCTGAGGCAGGAGAATTGCCTGAACCCAGGAGGCAGAGGCTGCGGTGAGCCGAGATCGCGCCATTGTACTCCAGCCTGGATAACAAGAGCGAAACTCCATCTCAAAAAAAAAAAAAAAGGAAAAAGGTTTAGATTTTAACCCTATGTCTTTTGACATAGATTCTTCTTCAGGGTTAACAAGCAGTTTTGTTTTGTTTTGTGATGGAGTCTTACTGGAGTGCAGTGGCGCGATCTTGGCTCACTGCATCCTCTGCCTCCTGGGTTCAAGCAATTCTCTGCCTCAACCTCCTGAGTAGCTGGGATTACAGGTGTCTGCCACCACACTGGGCTAATTTTCGTATTTTTAGTAGAGACAGGATTTTACCATCTTGGGCAGGCTGATCTTGAAGTCCTGACCTTGTGATCCACCCACCTCGGCCTCTCAAAGGGCTGGGATAACAGCCCTGATATCACTTTAAAATGGCGACTCATACCTTGCCTGTGTCCTGTGAAACTTTTCTCTGTGTGCCTATATTCTCTTTTTTTTTCCCGCAAACAGAACATTGCAGGGTGGATGCTAGTCTTGAAAGTTTGGTCCTTTCCTCTTGGCCACTTTCCGGAAGAAAATGCTCGTGAGGTGAGTGAGAGGCTGATACGTACTGCTGCAACTGGCCCTACCCTGGGGCTGCCGGATGACAGCACCACGGCCTTTTCCTTTTTTAAAAAAAAAATTTATTATTTATTTATTTTTTCCTTTTTCTTTCAAAACCACCATCAGAAGAAACCGCAGCATTTTCAATAGGTGGCCTGCCTGGGAGGAGGAGGGACAAATGTGCCACGGCCATCGTGGAGAACGAACACCTATGCAGTTGGAGAATGCTAAAGACACCCAAGGGTGTCGTCCTCGCCCTCCTGAAAGAAGCTAAAAAGTTCCAGGCTTAGAGCGCTACAGATATAGAGATTCTGGATAGAAAGAAAAAAAAAAAAAAAAAAAGGAACTCTCACCAGGGCTATCAGGTATTGATATGACTTATTTGCGGACACAGTTGTATAGAATTATTATGTGGCAAAGATGAAGATCATGCTGGAATGTCTTTCATGTATCCCTTGGTGGAGGCAGTGGGCAGTATGAAGGCACAAGATAGCTGGTGAAGTCTAACCTTGTGGCCTGGAGGCCACATGATAGGGTGGCAGTGTCTTGTTCTTCTCTACATGCTTGGGCCCTCATTCTGTTTTCTCACATTCACTCCATCCTAGTGTATTCTTGGATTGTCTCCTTCCCCTTGAGATTCTGCTTCTAACTAAAGCCAAATATCAGACCAACTTTACCTGTCTCATTATACCAATCACAGGCAGATTCTTTATCTTTCTTCTTCTTTTTAAGACAGAGCCTTGCTCTGCTGCCCAGGCTGGAGTGCAGTAGTACAATCACAGCTCACTGCTGCCTGAAACTCCTGGGCTCCAGCAATCCTCCCCGTTTGGCCTCCCAAGTAGCTGGTATTATAGGTACGCCACATTACGCCTTGCTTAATTTTCTAATTTTAGTAGAGACGAGGTCTGCCATGTTGCCCAAGCTAGTCTCCAACTTGAGGGCTCAAGTGATCCTCCTGCCTTGGCCTCCCAAAGTGCTGGGAATATAGGCATGAGCCACTGTATCTGTCCTACATTTTTTGTCCTACATTATCTGTCCTTTTATTTTTTTGAAATGGAGTCTTGCCCCTGTTGTACAGGCTGGAGTGCAGTGGCGCGATCTTGGCTCACTGCAACCTCCACCTCCCATGTCCAAGTGATTCTCCGCCCGAGTAGCTGGGATTACAGGCACACGCCACCATGCCTGGCTAATTTTTGTATTTTTAGTAGAGACGGAGTTTCGCCATGTTGGCCAGGCTGGTCTCGAACTCCTGACCTCAGGTCAGGAACTCCTGATCCACCTGCCTTGGCCTCCCAAAGTGCTATGATTACAGGTGTGAGCCACCGTACCCGGCCACCATTTTTTAGACAGGGTCTTGCTTTGTTACTCAGACTGGTGTTCAGTGGTGCAGTCTTGCAGCCTCGACCTCCTGGGCTCAAGTGATCCTCCCACCTCAGACCCCCAAGTAACTGGGACTACAGGCGTGCACCACCAGGCCCAGCTAATATATATTTTGTAGAGACAGGGTTTTGCCGTGATGCCCAGGCTGGTCTTGAACTCCTGAGCTCAGCAATCCACTCACTTTGTCCTCCCAAGGTGCTAGGATTACAGGCGCAAGTCACCCCTCCCAGCTACATTTCTTTTTAGAGAGAAAAGACGGTTCATTAAACTTCAATATAGCCAGGTTGAAAATGTTTCAGATGTGAGACATGCAATAAACTGGTTGCACTAATGGCCCAAACAGTCTCCTTGTATCCCTGCCCTTTGCAATGCGGCTCTGCAGCTACTCCCACCAAGGGGGAAATCTACTTCCCCCTCCTTCACCACCAGCTCTGCGACTTGCTTTGACCGTGAGAATGTGACAGAGTGTTGATGTGACAGTTCCAGGTCTAGGCTTCAAGAGGCCCTGAGCACTTCTTTCTCTCCAAACACTGCCTCTACTGGGAACACAGTCCTGGACCGGCTGCTGGAAATGGGAGACCGGGTGAAGCAGGGATGAATCATTCCAGCTAAGGCCATCCGAGAACAGCCAGCTGCCCTGACAGCTGACAGCAGAGGCACCAGAAAGCCTGCCCCAGATGACCCAAGACCAGAAGTTCCCAGCTAATTAAACTCTGCCTAAATTGCTGATCCCCAAAATCTTAAACTAAATCAATGGTGGTTGTTTTAAGCCACTAAGTTTTGGGGTGTGTTGGAAACAGATGCTTGGTGCTGCAAAGAAAAATTAGCACTCAGACAATAGATTTTTTTACTTCCTGGACTGCAGGAAGGGTACCCTTGCTAGCCATTTTGCCAGAGAGTACAACGAACAAAGGAAAAGCAGACATATTTATCCCTTGCGCATTTGGGGTTGTCCTTACTGCTGTGTCTGATCTCTGTTGGCTGGAGCCAGATCTTACAGTATAAACTAAAACCTGACTGGCTAACAACTTTTCTAAACAGGTAAAAGCAATGGAGAGCTGGGACATGCCTGTGAGCACGTCCAGCAGAGATACCTCGGCTAAAGTACAAAGACACAGAATGTACTACGTGCCAGTAAGCATGGTATGTTTAACAGCTACATAGGATAGGGCTTAACAAAGAGTTATTAGCACACTTATTATTTATTCTTTAACAAGAAAGGAAACTTTAAGGAGGAACTTTTCTACTCCCCACAGGGTGGGTTTATGTAGCATAATTCTGGTAGTAGGTAACTGTTTCAGAAGACAGAAATGGTTCTGATAATTAGAACCACAATGACTCCCCTATTTATGTCACCAACCAAGACTTCTCCCTTGAATTCCAGACCCAAGTATCCAGCCACCAACCCAACATTTCTATAATCAGAACCAAGCTCTTGATAACACCTCAAAATTTACTCCTCCTATAGCCACAGCCTTTACTATCTTGATAAAATGGAGAACTTTCCATTTCCAGGTGCCCAGGCCTAATCCTTGCACCCTTCTTTAACATTTCTTTCTTTCACATTCCATGTCCAGTTTCTTAGCAAATCCTGTGGGCTCTACCTCCAAAATATATCCAGAATCTGCTCACTTTTCACCAACTCTATGGCTACTACTCTGACCCAAGCTCCCATCATATCTTAACTGATTGTTCCAGCAGCATCTTATTTTTTTTGTTTCCAAGTTAATTGGGCACCTTGTATGTTGCCTGGCAACCCTAACCAGGCATCTTCTATTTCACAGCCTCTGCATCTGCCCAAATCCTCTTCCCAGATAGCTGCATAGCCCACTCTCTGACCACCTTTAAATTTCTGTTCAGATGATATTTTGTCAATATCAAGAGATCTTCCTGGCCAGGGACGGCGGCTCACACCTGTAATCCCAGCACTCCATGAGGCCCAAGGTGGGTGGGGTCGGGAGTTTGAGACCAGCCTGGCAAACATGGTGAAAACACGTCTCTACTAAAATACAAAAATTAGCCAGGCATGGTGGCATGTGCCTGTAATCCCAGCTACTTGGGAGGCTGAGGCACAGAGAATCACTGGAACCTGGGAGGCAGAGGCTGCAGTGAGCCGAGGTCACACCACTGCACTCCAGCCTGGGGGAGAGAGTGACACTCTGTCTCAAAATAAATAAATAAATAAAAGGCCTTCCTGGACCACCACATTTCACATTGATTCATTCATTCATTCATTTGTTTAATTTTTTGAGACAGAGGATTGCTCTGTCACCCAGGCTAGAGTACAGTGGCATGATCTTGGCTCACTGCAACCTCTACCTTCTGGGTTCAAGTGATTCTTGTGCCTCGGCCTCCAGAGTAGCTGAGACTACAGGTGCACATCACCACACTCAGCCAATTTTTGTATTTTTAGTAGAAACAAGGTTTCACCACATTGGCCATGCTGGTCTCAAACTCCTGACCTCAGGTGATCGTCCCGCCTCAGCCTCCCAAAGTGCTGGGATTGCAGGCATGAGCCACCACACCTGGCTGACCACCACATTTAAACCTACCTTCCCACCATGGTATGCCCAACCCTCTTGTTTACTTTTTCTCCATGACACCTATTACCATGTAACATACTAAGTATTTTACTTACTTACTTGTCATCTGTGTCAACCCCAATCCCATGCAAGCTTCAAGAAGGCTTGGTTTTTCTTTGTTTTGGTTTGCTCGCTGCTGAATCCTCAGTGGTTGATTTTCTATGTCAACTTGACTGCACCAGAGGGTGCCCAGATTAAATACTGTTTCTGGGTGTGTCTGTGTGGGTGTTTCCAGATGAGATGAGCATTTCTGGCAGTGGAGTCAGTGAAGTAGATGGCAAGTGTGAGTAGACATCACCTAATCCATTGAGGGCCTGAATAGAACAAAAAAACAGGAAGGAGAAGTTCACTCCTATTGCTGCCCGCCTACCCGCTTGAGCTGGGACATTGATCTTCTCCTGCCTTTGCAATGGGATTTATACCATTGGCTTCCCTGGTTCCCAGGCCTTTGAGCTTGGACTGAATTACGCCACTAGCTTTTCTGGGTCTCTAGCTTGTAGATGCCAGATCATGAGACTTCCTAGCACCCATAGATATGAGCCAATTTCTCACCTGAATACCACATCCCCTTTTTCCATCTTGGTGAAACAGCTTTCTAACAGTTTACTGAGAAGCTACGTTTTTTTTTTAGCTGGGTGTGGTGGCACACATCTGTAGTCCTAGCTACTAGGGAGGCTGAGGCAGGAGAATCACTTGAACCCGGGAGGCGGAGGTTGCAGTGAGCCATGATCACGCCTCTGCACTCCAGCCTGGGCAACAGAGTAAGACTCCATTCCCCCACCCACAAAAAAGAAATACGTTTTTATATTAATTTATTTCATTTAACATGGGTCAGAATCTCAGCAGAGCTTCCTTAGCTGCCTCCATAGAATAGTGAGTCTGGACCTGGGCAGACTGGGAGACTTGAGTCTTAAGTTACCAGACCTGGAGAAGATAACCTGCTCCCTACATTAAAAGGACTGTGTTCTTTTTTTTTTTTTTTTGAGACAGAGTTTCGCTCTTGTTACCCAGGCTGGAGTGCAATGGCACGATCTCGGCTCACCGCAACCTCCGCCTCCTGGGTTCAGGCAATTCTCCTGCCTCAGCCTCCTGAGTAGCTGGGATTACAGGCACGTGCCACCATGCCCAGCTAATTTTTTGTATTTTTAGTAGAGACGGGGTTTCACTATGTTGACCGGGATGGTCTCGATCTCTCGACCTCGTGATCCACCCGCCTCGGCCTCCCAAAGTGCTGGGATTACAGGCTTGAGCCACCGCGCCCGGCCAGGACTGTGTTCTTACTGTCTTTTTGTCTTTGCTTTTATTTTTTATTTATTTATTTTTTAACACGGGGTTTCACCATATTGGTCAGGCTGGTCTTGAACTCCCGACCTCTGGTGATTCACCCACCTTGGCCTCCAAAGTGCTTGGATTACAGGTGTGAGCCACCACGCACGGCCGTCTTTGTTTTTTACATGGAGTCTCGTTCTGTTGCACAGGCTGTAGTGCAGTGGCATAATCTAAGCTCACTGCAACCTCTGCCTCCTGGGTTCAAGCAATTCTCCCACCTCAGCCTCCTGAGTACCTGGGATTAAAGGTGCCCACAACCACATCTGGCTAATTTTTGCATTTTTAGTAGAGATGGGCCTTCACCATGTTGGCCAGGCTGGTCTTTGGACTCCTGACCTCAAATGATCTGCCCACCTCAGCCTCCCAAAGTGCTGGGATTACAGGCATGAGCCACCATGCCAAGCCTGTCTTTTTGTCTTCAGAGTATGTCTGCATTCCTATTTCTTGGTGCATTCTGCACTGTCACCAGAGGCACCAGTGCATCCTGCCCTGCTCATGCACCGCATGTATTGTAAAAGCGAGGCAGCAAGGCACAGAAGGAGGGTATGTGTTATTATATAATGTGATGCACTGTTGGGCACAAAGCCCAAACCCTGCCACCCAACCCAGATGGGAGTTATTACACAGTGACATTTCCCTGCAGTGTCTTGTAACATTAGACTTTCCTTTTCTTTCTTAGAATTCTTTAAAACACACTTCCCTTGAATATAAATAACTTCTTAAAATATTGGAAAGTAGCTATCCTGCCAGGTTATAGCAGGAGGTTAGCATAAAAAGAAAGCTTCAATTCCCCCCCCACCATTATTTTGTTCTTCATTAATTTAATAGCAACCTAGACTTTAATCTGAATATAGTACGACACTGCAGGAGTCTGAAATCAATAGTGATGTCATTAAATTGCCACTTTAAATCTGCTCACCCTGGCTGCTGACTCCACTTCCTCTCCCTGGGCAAACTACAGATTCTTAACAATCAACTCTTAGCATGCATGCTCTCTTTGTCTCTTTCTCTCTCTCTCTCTCTCAATCTAAACTATAAGAGAAAACTCTTGCTTTGCATTTTCTGACTCTCCAAAGTATCTGTGGTAAAGGATTGGTTTTCTTTCTTCTTTTCTTTTGAGACAGAGTCTTGTTCTGTCACCCAGGCTAGAGTACAGTGGGGCCATCTCAGCTCACTGCAACCTCAGCCTCCTAAGTTCAAACAGTTCTCCTATTTCAACTTCCTGAGTAGCTGAGATTATAGGCGCCCACCACCACAACCTGCTAATTTTTGTATTTTTAGTAGAGATGGTGTTTCATCATGTTGGCCAGGCTAGTCTCAAACTCCCAACCTCAGGTGATCCACCTGCCTCCGCCTCCCAAAGTGCTGGGATTACAGGCATGAGCCACTGCACCTGGCCAGAAGACCCAGTTTTCAAAAACAAATAAATAAATAATAAAAATCAACATTATTGTGGTATAATTTATATACAGTAAACTGCATCCATTTACATTGTATACTTTGACGAGTTTTGATGGCTCTGTATGCCCATTAAATCACCACAATCAAGCTACAGAGCATTTCCATCATTCCCAAAAAGTTCCTACTGCCCCTAGTTCTAAGCAGCTACTTAGAACCACTTAGAAAGCTTTTGTCGGCCGGAGGTGATGGCTCATGCCTGTAATCCCAGCACTTTAGGAGGCTGAGGAGGGTGGATCATCTGAGGTCAGGAGTTCAAGACCAGGCTGGCCAACGTGGTGAAACCTCGTCTCTACTAAAAATACAAAAATTAGCCAGGCATGGCGGTGGGCACCTGTAATCCCAGCTACTCCGGAGGCTGATGCAGGAGAATCGCTTGAGCCTGGGAGGCAGATGTTGCAGTGAGCCGAGATGGTGCCATTGCACTCCAGCCGGGGCAAGAAGAGCAAAACTCCATCTCAAAAAAAAAAAAATGCTTTTGTTACTACAGATTAGTTTTTCATTTTCTTTTCATTCATTTTAATGATTTTGAGATTCATGTTGTTGAATATTTCAGTAATTTTTCTCTGTGTTGCAGAGTAATATTCCAGTTGAATCCTGTTGATGTTTCTTAGTTTTTATGAATAAGGCTGCTATGAACACTTATGCATAAGCCTTTGCATGGAAATATATTTCATTTCTCTTGGGTAAATACCTAGGTGTAGAATGGCTGGGCTGAATCATAGATACGTGTTTAACTCCAAACCCATTTTTCCAACTCGGGTTCCCACGGTTCTTCTTACCCACCTTTGAGCCAAACTGAATTATTTACTTTTTCTCGGCTATGTCCTAGTATCTCCTGCCTCCTCACTTTCGTGGTATTCCTTTGGCTTAGAACATCCCTGTTCAGATCATTCCAGCTACATTAGCTTGGTTCAAGTACCATCGCCACAAAGGCCTCTTTCTTCCCCTCAGTTAATCATGACCAAGTTAAGCTACACCATTCTTTTTTTGTTTTTGGACACGGAGTTTCGCCCCTGTTACCCAGGCTGGAGTGCAATGGCGCGATCTCGGCTCACCGCAACCTCCGCCTCCTGGGCTCAGGCAATTCTCCTGCCTCAGCCTCCTGAGTAGCTGGGATTACAGGCACGTGCCACCATGCCCAGCTAATTTTTTGCACTTTTTTTTTTTTTTGAGACGGAGTTTCGCTCTTGTTACCCAGGCTGGAGTGCAATGGCGCGATCTCGGCTCACCGCAACCTCCGCCTCCTGGGTTCAGGCAATTCTCCTGCCTCAGCCTCCTGAGTAGCTGGGATTACAGGCATGTGCCACCATGCCCAGCTAATTTTTTTGTATTTTTAGTAGAGACGGGGTTTCACCATGTTGACCAGGATGGTCTCGATCTTTCGACCTTGTGATCCACCCGCCTCGGCCTCCCAAAGTGCTGGGATTACAGGCTTGAGCCACCGCGCCCGGCTTTTTTTTTTTTTTTGAGACGGAGTTTCGCTCTTGTTGCCCAGGCTGGAGTGCAATGGCGCGATCTCGGCTCACCGCAACCTCCGCCTCCTGGGCTCAGGCAATTCTCCTGCCTCAGCCTCCTGAGTAGCTGGGATTACAGGCACGTGCCACCATGCCCAGCTAATTTTTTGCACTTTTTTTTTTTTTTGAGACGGAGTTTCGCTCTTGTTACCCAGGCTGGAGTGCAATGGCGCGATCTCGGCTCACCGCAACCTCCGCCTCCTGGGTTCAGGCAATTCTCCTGCCTCAGCCTCCTGAGTAGCTGGGATTACAGGCATGTGCCACCATGCCCAGCTAATTTTTTTGTATTTTTAGTAGAGACGGGGTTTCACCATGTTGACCAGGATGGTCTCGATCTTTCGACCTTGTGATCCACCCGCCTCGGCCTCCCAAAGTGCTGGGATTACAGGCTTGAGCCACCGCGCCCGGCTTTTTTTTTTTTTTTGAGACGGAGTTTCGCTCTTGTTGCCCAGGCTGGAGTGCAATGGCGCGATCTCGGCTCACCGCAACTTCCGCCTCCTGGGTTCAGGCAATTCTCCTGCCTCAGCCTCCTGAGTAGCTGGGATTACAGGCACGCGCCACCATGCCCAGCTAATTTTTTGCACCTTTAGTAGAGACGGGGTTTCACCATGTTGACAAGGATGGTCTCGATCTCTCGACCTCGTGATCCACCCGCCTCGGCCTCCCAAAGTGCTGGGATTACAGGCTTGAGCCACCGCGCCCGGCTTAAGCTACACCATTCTTTTTTTTTTTTTTTTTTTTTTTTTTTTTTGAGACGGAGTTTCGCTCTTGTTACCCAGGCTGGAGTGCAATGGCGCCATCTCGGCTCACCGCAACCTCCGCCTCCTGGGTTCAGGCAATTCTCCTGCCTCAGCCTCCTGAGTAGCTGGGATTACAGGCACGTGCCACCATGCCCAGCTGATTTTTTTGTATTTTTAGTAGAGACGGGGTTTCACCATGTTGACCAGGTTGGTCTCGATCTCTTGACCTTGTGATCCACCCACCTCGGCCTCCCAAAGTGCTGGGATTACAGGCTTGAGCCACCGTGCCCGGCCTAAGCTACACCATTCTTTTGGAGATAATCTCTTTTAATTTTGGTTGAGTTCTTGTCTCTTCTTCTAGATCCTAATTATCTTTGATCATAGGATCTGTATCCAGTTCAGTTTGGTGGCTCCCACATGGCCTACCTTGTTAGGTTCTTTGCATAAGGCACTCAGTAAATTTTTTTTTTTTTTTTTTTTTTTTTTTTTTTTTTGAGACAGAGTCTTGCTCTGTCGCCCAGGATGGAGTATAGTGGCACGATCTCAGCTCACTGCAACCTTTGCCTCTCGGGTTCAAGAGATTCTTCTGCTTCAGTCTCCCAAGTAGCTGGGATTACAGGTGTGCACCACCACAGCTGGCTAATTTTTGTATTTTTAGTAGAGATGGAGTTTTGCCATGTTGGCCAGGCTGGTCTTGATCTCCTGACCTCAGGTGATCCACCCACCTCAGCCTCCCAAAGTGCCCAGCTGCCAATATATTCTAGATTAATAAGAGATTTAAAAGATCAACCAACCACAATGTACAGACCTCATTTGTGTTACCGGAAAGGGGTCCCAATCCAGACTCCAAGAGAGGGTTTGTGTATCTCGCAGAAGAGAATGCAGGGCAGTCTGTAAAGTAAAGTGAATGCAAGTTTATTAGGAAAGGAATAAGGAATGGCTACTCCATAGAGCAGTCCCAAGGGCTGCTGGTTGCGCAATTTTATGGTTATTTCTTGATTATTTGCTAAACAAGGGGCGGATTATTCATGCCTCCCCTTTGTAGACCCTACAGGGTAACTTCCTGATGTTACGTGGCATCTGTAAACTGTCATGGTGCTGGTGGGAGGGTAGCAGTGAGGATGACTGGATGTCACTCTCATTGCCATCTTGGTCCTAGTGGGTTTTGGCCGTCTTTACTGCAAGCTGTTTTATCAGCAAGGTCTTTATGATCTGTATCTTGTGTTGACCTCCTATCTCATCCTGCAACTAAGAATGCCTTAACCTCCCGGGAATGCAGCCCAGCAGGTTTTAGCCTTATTTTACGCAGTCTCTATTCAAGATGGAGATGCTGTGGTTCAAATACCTCTAACATTTGAATCCTGATTAAAACAAACTATAAAAAAAGAAATGTAAGACATTGATGATATTACAGTTATCTTTTCTAATCTTTTTTACCTTGAGTTTCTTTTTTTAACTTTTAGGTTCAGGGGTACATGTGCAGGTTTGTTATATAAGTAAACTCGTGTCACAGGGCTTTGTTGTATAGATTACTTTGTCACCCAGGTTTTAGGCCTAGTGCTCAATAGTTAATTTTTTCGGCTCTAAAGTCTTAATTTTTTTTGAAAACATTATCTCTTGAGATTTGTTTGAAAGCAATACAGCAAGGGAGAAAGTGAGTAGTGAGACAGAGGAAACCAAACTGGCCCTGGTTGATAACACTGGAGGGGGAGGACAGGCGCACGGGTTCATTACATTCTTGAAATTTTCCATAGAAAAGTTAAAATTAAAAAAATAAAACAGACTGCCCCTCAGCCAAGTCTTCCAGACTCCAAAGGGCCTTTTTAAAAAATGTTAGCCCTCGCAGTGGGTTAATATGGTAACAAATGATTAATCATTAACATTTTAGCCTGTGATGGTTTCCAACAGTGTCAGTGAAATGCCTGCCTCCCGCAGCAGCCCCGCCTTTCACCCTTCAGCTCACCTCTCCAGCTTCTCTCTCCCTGAGCCCTACAGCCCCAACATCCCCTCCACTTCCTGGCACCCATCCCCTTGCCGCTGCTGCCATTTTGCTTGCTGGAATGCTCCCTCTGCCATCCCCCACCTGGCAGAACCTGCTTATGCTTACCAATCCAGATAAATGCTGCTTCCTCCGTGAGAGTGTCCTCCTCCTCCCCCTTCTCTCCATCTTCTTCCATCTCCTCCTCCCTCTCTTTCTCCTCCTCCTCCATCAGAATTCATCACTCCCCACAAAGAGCTCTGATTCTACTGCTCTTTCTATATACTTAGCACCTTATGTTACATGTTACATTTTTTCTTTTCTTTTTTTTTTTTTTTTGGGAGGAAGTCTCACTCTGTTGCCCAGGCTAGAGGGCAGTGTCTTGATCTCAACCTCTGCCTCCCAGGTTCAGTCTCCTGCTTCAGCTTCCCAAGTAGCTGGGACTACAGACAATGCCACCATGCCTGGCTAGTTTTTTGTATTTGTAATAGAGACAGGTTTTCATCATGTTGGCTAGGCTCAACTCCTGACCTCAAGTGATCCTCCTGCCTTGGTCTCCCAAAGTGCTGGGATTGCAGGCGTGAGTCACCACACCCAGCCTTTGTGTTATATTTTCATGTAATATTCTGAGGTTTTCATATAATATTTCAACTTAAATTAAGATGGTAGATTTTTGGCAGATTAGCTATTTGGGCTAATCTTTTTTATCTACTCTAACCTCAGTCAAGGCTGAACAACAACCTTCATTTAAAGGCACTTGGGCCTTTGGCTGGAGTTCAGCAGGCCACGCTCAGGCTGGATGGGCCGCAGGGCTGCAAACTTCAAACAGCTACAGGTGCCGACAGGCCGAGTAGCTGGGAGAGACTGGCACAAAGGAGTGCATATGCCCTGGCCCAGAGTGGCGCCCATCTCGCAGTGCCGGGCACGTGGACTAGATTAGGGATCCTTTAAATGTTCATTCTCGTACCTCACTTTGGATTCATTATTTTCTGTTCATTTTCTTAAACAGGACCTCTCCAATGGTATCAGCTTAGGCCGTAGAAAATTGGGCACCCTGGCTGTGCTTGTAATCTCAGCACTTTGGGAGGCCAAGGTGGGTGGATCACTTGAGCCCAGGCGTTTCAGACCAGCCTGGGCAACATGGTGAAATCCCATCTCTAACAAAAATACAAAAAAAAAAAAAAAAAAAAAAACTAGACATGGTGGCCATTGCCTGTAGTCCCAAATACTAGGGAGGCTGTAGAGAATCTCTTGAACCCAGGAAGTGGAGGTTGCCATGAGCCGAGATCACACCACTGCACCCCAGCATGGGTGATAAAGCAACACCCTGTCTCAAAAACAAAAAAAATACAAAAAAACTAACAAGAATGTTGACATCAGCAAAATGATTCATCTGAAAATAAGAAACTCTTGAGTATGGCTGGGTGGGGTGGCTCATGCCTATAATCCCAACACTTTGGGAGGCCAAGGTGGCAGATCACTTGAGATCAGGAGTTCGAGATCAGCCTGACCAACGTGGTGAAACCCTCGTCTTAACTAAAAATATTTTTTAAAATTAAAAAATTAGCGGGGCATAGTGGCGCCCCCCCCTGTAATCCCAGCTACTCCCAGCTACTGGGGAGACTCAGACAGGAGAATCGCTTGAACCAAGGAGGTGGAGGTTATAGTGAGCCAAGATCATGCCACTGCACTCCAGCCTTGGAGAGTGAGACACTGAGTCAAAAATAAAAAAGAAATGGTGGGGAAAGGCCTAAAATCCGCAAATCTGCACTTCTGTAGGAGATTGTTGTTGTTGCTGTTTTTGAGATGGGTCTCTGTCACCCAGGCTGGAGTGCAGTGGCACGATCTCGGCTCACTACAACCTCTGCCTCCCAGGTTCAAGGGATCCTCCCACCTCAGCCTCCCAAAGTGCTGGGTAGCTGGTACTATGCCCAGCTAGTTTTTTACGGGTGTTTTCAGTAGAGACAGGTTTGGGGTATATTGGCCAAGCTAGTCTCGAACGTCTGATCTCAAGTCATCATGTTGCGCAGGCTGGTCTCAAACTTTTTTTTTTTTTTTTTAAAGATGAGGTTTCACCTATGTTGGCCAGGCTGGTCTTGAACTCCTGACCTCGGGTGATCCACCCACCTTGGCCTCCCAAAGTGCTAGGATTACAGGCATGAGCCACCACGCCCAGCCTTGGTCTCAAACTCTTGAGCTCAAGAGATCCGCCCGTCTCAGCCTCCCAAAGTGCTGGGATTACAGGCGTGAGCCACCGTGCCCTGCCTGCAGGCAAAGTTTTTCAGCCTCCTCCAACGTTCTCAACAGGGTAAAAGGCCCCTGGGGACCATCCCATTGCTGGAGCCGCTGGGAGCCACTCATTTCAAGACGTTTGGCTGGAAAGATAACCGTTACTACGGAGATACTTCAAAGGTGTTTATCTGTGTGCTTTTTGGTGTAGTGTCAGATCGCCTGGTAAACACGCAATGGACACACACAGACTTTTGGAGCGGGAAGGACTTGTGGCTTGGCCCCCTCTGCGGATCACCCTAGAGAAAATTCAAACATCACCGTTTAGAGCCGCGCCCGCAGAGCTGGAAGAGATTTCGAGGTGAGGACCTGGCGGCGCTGGGCGGTGCTGCGGCCGGAGACCCCGGCCTTTGTCTCCTGGGGGCGCGGCCACCCTTCCCGCCCAGGACTCGCCCGTGCGCCCCCTCTGCGGGGCTGCGGAGAGCCCAGGGGGCCGGGGTTTGGCAGCAGGAACCCAAAGACTGCGAGCGCTCCCCAGGCGCTGAGGTCGCTCCGCGGGGCCTGGCCTCGCCCGAGGACCGCGGCTCGCTCCGTGCCCACACGGTTCGGCAGACGCCGCCTTCTTTCCAGCTTCTCCTCCACCGCCATGCAGAGCAGAATGTACCCAAACATGCCCTAATTAAAAAAAAAAAAAAAAAAAAAAAAAGTAACTCATCGGCGTTTCCCATTCCCTCCTCCTCCTCCACCGTGTCTTCCGGGGACCGTGACACAGGAGGCGGCACTTCCGGATGACGGTGTGGGCCACTGCAGTCGCAGCTATTTTATAGACCAAACGGCTGCTCGCTTTGGCCTGGGAACATAAAAAAAAGACCCCCAACCAAAAAAAAACAAAAAAGACGCTTTGTGGTTTGCTGCCCAGCGGAGAGGCCCTGCCGCTGTCCTCTGCCCGCGCGCTCGCAGCTGGGAGGTGCCGCCGGGAGGGGGCGCCCGCGGCCCTGAGACGCACTGAAGCGCCGACTTGTCTCTATGGGGAGCGGTTCAGGGAAGGAGAACGGACGGCAGGAAGCAACCACACAGAGCATCTCTGGGAACAGTCACGTGTTTTTCAGAGCTGGGAGAATGAGGCAGACATTTATACAGGTGTCGTCTAGCACGAGCCCCACTACGTTGCTTAGTGACGGAAGCCAAAGTGTTAATAAAAACCGTTAGGATGAACACTTCGAATAAAAGGCAGGTGCTACACAGTCAGTGGATGCCTGCCGCATCTCGTTATCGAAATGCTTGCTGGCAAAGTGGAAGGAGAGGCAGTCTTGCTTCCAAATGGGCCTCTGCAGAAAGATAACGAACATCCCCGCTGGGGATGGAAGTGGGGCTGTTGGTACATTAAGTCTGATGCTGTTACTATTGTGTAGGCATTCTAACATGGCCTAAGTGATTGGCATGTGTTTATGAACTCATTCTTTCAGCAGTTGAGTACGTAATGTGCAAAACACATGTGCATCGTCACAGCATTGTCTTTATTTAAAGTTTTTCATACATGCATCTGCAGCCACCCTTTTGTATCTTCTTGTGACTACTTTGCCCTATGACTGCCCTCTCCTGCCCAAAAGACAGACAAAAGGCAGGGAAGAGGATGGAATAGTGGATGCCAGGTGGGGAGGGTTGAACGGATAGGTCTTACCTGAAATCTTGCCCCAGGGGCTTCTGAAACCAGCAAACATGAAAATAGGAGTTGAGTCAAGAATTAATATTATAGCTCTCAAGCGAACTGTAACCAATTTTGCAGCCACTTCTCTAACGCTTCCCAAAATTAGACTGGGTGATGAAATTGTAATGATACTATTAAAATGTGTACAATGAATCAATAACCATAACCCATTAGTTGCACCCTGCTAAGGTATACAGAAAATAAATGCGGTAAAGAATGAAAAATATCCGGATCAGGGGCAGCGGCTCACTCCTATCCCAGCACTTTGAGAGGCCAAGCTGGGAGGATCGCTTGAGCTCAGAAGTTCGGACCAGCCTGTGCAACAAAGTGAGACCCCCATCTTTGTAAAAAAAAAAAAAAAAAATTCATACAGCCGGGCGCGGTGGCTCACGCCTCTAATCCCAGCACTTTGGGAGGCCGAGGCGGGTGGATCACGAGGTCAAGAGATCGAGACCATCCTGGTCAACATGGTGAAACCCCGTCTCTACTAAAAATACAAAAATCAGCTGGGCATGGTGGCGCACGCCTGTAATCCCAGCTACTCGGGAGGCTGAGGCAGGAGAATTGCTTGAACCCAGGAGACGGAGGTTGCGATGAGCCGAGATCGCGCTATTGCACTCCGGCCTGGGTAACAAGAGCGAAACTCCGTCTCAAAAAAAAAAAAAAAAAAAAAAAATCATACAATAAATAAGTTAAAAATAAAAATATCTGCAACTGGCTAAGAAAAGTATGTAGGTACAGCTTTTCTTTTCAGAAACCAGCTGCCGCATCTACCGGTACGTACGGAAAAGGGCCTTCAATAATGTAACTCATATATGGCTAACCTATTTAAAATAAAGGGCCCTGTAACGTTTGGATGGTGTAGTTCATCAGAAGGTCACCAGAGGGCGCCCAAGTTTGCTTCCCACAGAACCCCAGGGCAATTTGCAGCTCAAAAGACTGTAGCACTCAGCCCAGCATGATTTCAACACCTGGAGGTCCCGTTGCTGGAAAGCATTGTGGAAACACAGGACTGATAACTTACGTCCCACGGGTATGAACTGGAAGATGGCTAGGCTAATGCTTACTTTCAGATTCGAAGTCTTGATTTTGTTTTCAGTTGTGTTTGGGGCTTAGTAGGAAGGTCCCTCTCCCCGCTCTCAGGTTGTCTCCTTCCCTGAGCATTTTTATAATGATCATGCACAATGACAATCCCTGAAATAGTGTAATTACAGTCCAGTGCATAGAGCGGTATGGATGAGGGCAATGTGTACATCCACAGAGAACAATTAGTGAAATCAGCCCTACCTAATCAACAGAACTTTGTCATATGTTCTAAAGGTTAAAAATTCTCAATACTGGCACTCCCTTTTCTCTCTCTCTCTTTTTTTTTTTTTTTTTTTTTTTGCGACGGAGTCTCACTCCGTTGCCCAGGCTGGAGTGCAGTGGTAGATCTCAGCTCACTGCAACCTCCGCCTCCCAGGTTCAAGCAATTCTCCTGCCCCAGCCTCCCAAGTAGCTGGGTTTACAGGCATGCACCACCATGCCTGGCTAATTTTGAATTTTTAATAGAGATAGGGTTTCTCCCTGCTGGTCAGGCTGGTCTCGAACTCCCGACCTCAGATGATTCGCCTGCCTCGGCCTCCCAAAGTGCTGGGATTATAGGCATGAGTCACTGCACCCATCTATTTTTTTTTTTTTTTTTTTTGAGATGGAGTTTCGCCCTTGTTACCCAGGCTGGAGTGCAATGGCGCGATCTCGGCTCACCGCAACCTCCGCCTCCTGGGCTCAGGCAATTCTCCTGCCTCAGCCTCCTGAGTAGCTGGGATTACAGGCACGTGCCACCATGCCCAGCTAATTTTTTGCACTTTTAGTAGAGACGGGGTTTCACCATGTTGACCAGGATGGTCTCGATCTCTCGACCTCGTGATCCACCCGCCTCAGCCTCCCAAAGTGCTGGGATTACAGGCTTGAGCCACCGCGCCCGGCGTACACCCATCTATTTTTAAATCCACATTTGAATCTCTTTCACCTTGTTTACTGTGAGTCACTGAATCAATTATCTACTGCTGTGTTACAAATAACCTCCAAATATCAAATATCGTATTTTAAAACAATAATAAATATATATTACCTTAAAGTTTCTGTAGGTCAAGAATTCAAAGCCTCTTGGTTAGATGGTACAAGCCTGGGTCTCTTTCATGATGCTACTGTGCAATGCTGGCTGGGTCTGCAGTCTGCAGTCATCTGAACACCTGACTGGGCTGGAGTATCCACTTCCAGGATGTTCACTCACATGGCTGCTGGAAGGAGGCCTCAATTCCTCACCCCCTGGTTCAGTCTCCCCCATGATACGGTAGCTGCTTCCTCCAGAGTGAGAACTCAAATAGAAATAAAGTGGAAGCCACAATATGGTTTATGATCTAGTTTTGGAAGTTGCACATTATTTCCTCAACGTCCTAATGGTTGCATGGTCAGCCCTCCTCAATGTGGGAAGGGACTGACTACCCAAAGGCATGAATACCATGTGCTGGGGATCATAGGAGACCCTCTTGGAAGCTGGCTGTCACTCACCTTGTTTTCCAAATGCATATTTAAGCCTCCCTTCACATGTACGGTTTACCTTATTTATTTATGTTTTGAGATGGAGTCTCACTTTGTTGCCAGGCTGGAGTGCAGTGGCACGATCTCAGCTCACTGCAGCCTTCACCTCCCAGGTGCAAGTGATCTCCTGCCACCATGCCCAGCTAATTTTTATATTCTTAATAGAGACGGTATTTCACCATGTTGGCCAGCCTAGTCTTGAACTCCTGACCTTAAGTGATCTGCCCGCCTCAGCCTCCCAAAGTGTTGGGATTACAGGCGTGAGCCACTTCGCCTGGCCCAATTTACCTTTTTTAATGTAATCATTCCTAAGAATGCATACACGAACCACTTTTTAAATGCATACCAGTTTATTTTCCTATGAGTACAAATGGCTCCCTCTTCTGTACATCAGAAGTAATTTCTCAAGAGGTGTATGCTGGGGATGGGGAGAATGTCCTATCTTTAATAATATATGTGTGTTGTTAAACATATCTCTCTCTCACAACTGTAAAATTTACGTGTTAAGGAGAAGTTTGCCACCTTCTGGTTGGGAATGTTTTCGTCATTTCTTTCTGCAAACACACTTGCTAGCAAGTGGCAAGTTATATTAAACAATAACAATCAATAAAAGTCATCAGGGAGTTACTGGATCACTTTGTTTTCAAATTAACAATCCCAAGCCCTTTTCTTGTATGACCTGACACTAGCCAGCTCTGAAAGGGAACTGTGATGATTCTTTTATTCATTCTTTTTTCAAAAGTAAGAGCTCCAAGGCAGAAAGCTTTTTTTTTTTTTTTTTTTTTGAGACCGAGTTTCGCTCTTGTTACCCAAGCTGGAGTGCAATGGCGCGATCTCGGCTCACCACAACCTCCGCCTCCTGTGTTCAGGCGATTCTCCTGCCTCAGCCTGCTGAGTAGCTGGGATTACAGGCACGCGCCACCATGCCCAGCTAATTTTTTTGTATTTTTAGTAGAGACGGGGTTTCACCATGTTGACCAGGATGGTCTCGATTTCTTGACCTTGTGATCCACCCGCCTCGGCCTCCCAAAGTGCTGGGATTACAGGCTTGAGCCACCGTGCCTGGCGAGAACTCAAAGTTCTAACCCGCTGAGTGAGCTTGGAGAAAGTTAAGAGAAGGGTTCTCACACGCACTCAGCAGCCTCCCTCCATTTCTGTCAACAGCAGAGGCAGTGCCCAGGCATCAAGCCATTTTCCCGCCTCAGCCTCCCAAGTAGCTGGGATTCATATGGCTTTTAGAATTAGAGAGATTTGAATTTAAATTCTCCCTTCATTCTCATTGGCTGTGTGAGCCTGGATGTTGTATTTAACCTCTCTCAGGCACAAATCACCCCTGTGGAATATAGGAATACTAGGTATTTACCTTCCTGGTTAGTTGGGAGGTGATCTGTGTAAAGTGTCTATCATAGTTCCTGACCCTACGAGGTGGTCAATATTTGGAGGCCGTTATGGAAGGGGGAAAGGAAGGAACACAGCACCACAGTGATGTGCAAAGGGCATCTACAGTCAGCCATTTCTCTCCAGGTGAGATAATGTGAAACACTGACATTCCATAGTATTTTTCTCGTTAGAAAACTGAATAAACTCTCTGGGGAAAATCAGGGAAGTGAGAATGTGTGATGTCCCAAATTTAGGTCCTCCACATGCTGGCATTTCAGGATTCCCAGAATCATGGCCGGCTTCCCACCTGCTCACCCAAAGCAAAGTCTGTTGGTGACAGATCCTGCCCACACAGAGAACTCCTAATCAAACCATTCATTTCCTCATTTAAAAAATGTGAACAAATAAGCAAGAATCGCCAACAGAGCCTTCAGCACGAAAGACCAAGATGAACAAATAGAAAACAGATATAATGTAGGATAGAGAAGAGAACAACAAGGCCGGTAGCTAGTATTCTAGAAAAATCCACAACTGAGCAAACATGAGGCTATAAAAGAACAAAAGAACACATATAATTTTTATGTTTTATATAACAAATGGGATGCTATAAAAGAATAAAAGAACAAACATTACTGGCCAAGATGGTAAAACCCCATTTCTACTAAAAATATAAAAATT